TTTGAGTCTTATATGCAATGGCGATGATAATGATTGTAATGTGTACTATGGAACAGTAAATCGATGGTGGAGTTTGAGAGGTATGATCACCAGACAGTAACGTTGCATATGACCAGTTGAAGAATTTTTCAAATGACATATGGCAACGCATTGTAACGAACTATACTTGCAATTTATTATGTACTTTTTTCCATTTATTAAATATTCTCACATTTGTACGATATTCGTAGTTTATATTTGAAATCGCTTGAGTATCATTTTTAGAACTGTTTCAAATCTCCGTAATTATATTCTTCATTTTAAATAAAAATCTGTTAAATTATATATTCTGTAATCTATTTTGTAAATTATTTCCTTCTAGATCATTAACAGATTGTATTCGAAATCGATAATTTCCAATTATTAAAATTTTGAAAACATTAGCATTAGCTTTATTTTAATTATATAGCTTTAATATGAACAATCGATGCCTATTTTGCACACAACGGTCAGCAGCAGTTTGCTGCTTACGCTGTCGTACAACAGACAGATCTACAATGTTCGAGACTCTGTTAACATCACTTGGTAAAGCATCTATGACCAGTAATTATTACGATCAAATTAGGATTATTTGCCAGCAGATTGAGACTGTAAGTTTACTAACAATATGTTCTAAATCATATTCTATTCTGACAATTTAGTTGAAGTGGCTTTTGACATCGATTCAATTTACGCCCATCACTCATTTTGACCCAAAAGTTCATCGAGTAGATCAAAAAGCTAAATTATATCTCCAACAAGCATCTTTGGATGTTCAAAATATGATTACAATCGAGGTCGCTGCAGATGGCAATTGCCTCTATAACTCCATCATATGCTTGAGTGGAAATACAGTATCAACACCTAGCGAGCTGAGAGGTACGTACAGATAACTTCATTATTCAATTATTTTCATATTATTTTTCTAGTGCGATGTTTAATCGAACTTGTCAAGAATGAAAACTTCTATCACAATCGCTTTGCTCATATTGTTGGGCCAGTTAATGAAGCCATAAAAAATATCGCTCGCAATTTTTCATTCTCGGAACTTTATGAAATTGCTGCATTGAGCAATGTTCTCAATTGCAACATACAGAGTGTATATCCTACAATTGATTATCGTTCTGATCTAAACATCATGAATAATACTTTTGAACATGCTCAGTGTAGTATTGCGTCCAAAACAATTTGTCTATTTTGGACACATACCGAAAGCGAAACCGAGGCACGTAGAAGTAATGCTGGTAACTGGTCGCCTAATCATTTTGTGCAACTTTTGCTTCCATCAGACAATTCTCAGAGTCAAAATCACCTCAGTCAACCGAAAATCTCTGACGCAGGCTCGGTAAGTTCTAGTTTATGGCTAAACGCCTTAAACAGAAAAAGTACTTTTACTTACAGACACCAACTAAGGCAACAACGAAAAATAATACACTAACTCAAGTACGCATTCCTGAATTTAATGCGGACGATAATGAAATGCAACCGTTTCAAGTGCCATCGACAGTTATCACGACAACCAACGAAATTACAACTCCTCGCACCAAACATCGACTACAATTAGTGGAGACTTGTACTAGCTTTGAAAATACAATTGTCGAACAGAAACGTATGCAAGCCCGTGAAAGAATGGCTGCTAAGAGAGCTGCATCTACACCAGAGGAAGCTGAGAGACAACATATATTTGCAAGGGAAAGAAATGCAGCACGAAGAGCTACTTTAACACCAAAAGAGATTGAACAACAACGGTCACTTGCCGTTGACAGAAGCATGGCTAAACGAGCTACTGGAACGCCGATAGAAGCTGAAGAACAGCGAGTACTAGCTAGCGAGAGAACTGCCACCAGAAGAGCTACCCGTGTGTCAGAAGAAACCAAGCAACAACAAACTGTAGCTTAAAAGACAACTCGTCTTCAGAAAACTGTCAAGCAAAATAAAACAGCCATGAAAAGAAAACCAAATCTAGATGCCAAAGTTGATTGACCAAAACCAGTTGATATGGACTGCAAAATTAACTGTTTGAAGAACTTCATACAGCCCATGTTCATGGATTCTAGCGGAGAGTGTCTGTGGCATCTGTAATGTTCGTCGCTATAAGCGTGACCTTCGTCATGTACCTTTGAGTAAAGTTCCATCGGTTGATTACTCAAGATACATCCCGACCTTAACAACATAATTCCGAAAATTCAGGACATTAACAGATTCGACTCAAACGGCAAGTTTCATAAGAATGATGATATCGGCTTCACTTCGAAACAAGACGAGAGAAACGTAGATTAATCTTTTCCTGACGCCAAGTTACAGCATTGATAAGACTTTTTTTCTTTTCAGACAGCAATGTTCAATCGTCAACGAATAATCAATCATTTACTTGTATAAATGGTATGTTTTTCTATGAAGCGGGATTATATAAAACTGTCGATAGAAAGAAACGTTCCTTGATTCATTGTGACGTTTGCACGGAGTGCTGGTCGGCATTGACGAAAGAAAAAATACCCAAGTTTTCAGCTACCAATAAAGTATGGATGGGAGATATGCCACAACAACTACAAGGACTAACCATTCC